ATGGCCTCTCGGCAAGATCTATGATGGGACGTCTCTGTGGACACCTGAAGTCGTCAACTACGTGAACTAGCCTGTTTTTCTTGTGTTACACTGATCGAGCCGTACCGCAGAGGGAGGAGATACCATGCGATGTGTAGGCATCTTCAGTAGCACTCTGTTTTTTTTTGAGAGGGGGGGGAAGCGTAGTTTGAGAAACTCCAGATCCGAACCCAACCTCGCAACGTGCTTCCAGGATCTGGCAAAGAGTCCCCCAAGAAAGGACACCCCAAAGCCTCATGACAAAATCCAACGGGTTGTTATGTTTAGATACAAGCCCCATGAAGAACAACCTGAGCCCCAACGTTTTTTTTTATGCCCTTTTTTTATGCCCCAAGCCGAAGGCCGCCAAAAAACGAAGACATCCAGGAACGCCCCAAGCTCAGACACCCGAAGAAACACTGAGCCCCTGAGCCATAAACCAGATAAGCTGCATAACCAAAGGCCCGGATCTGCAGTGAGAACCCGAAGACCCAGGGAAGCCCTGAACCCCGGCACCCTGAAGCCGATGATCCCGAAAGCCCTAAGAGCCTACACCAAGGAGCCCCGGCACGCCGTGGCCGTGGGGACCGTTCCGAAGGCCTGTGCGAGTTTTCTATTTGGCTGGATAAGGTTTAGAGCTTACAGGGGTTCGAGGGGTCTCGGAGTGTCAAAGGGTAGCTGGGGCTTCGGGTTTTGGGCCTACCTGATTCCCTTTGAGAGAAGCAGAGCTCACTCAGGGATGCAGTCATGCCCGATGCTAGGGAAGCTCTGGAGTCCGACTGTGCTAGACGCCAGAAGACCGCTTTGCTGTGATGCTGCATTGCAGCAGAAAAGTTGTCGAATTGTCGAATGCCTGGTTCTATGAGCAGTGCAGCCGAGGCGTGCCTAAAGCCCCAAAGGCCTCAAGCCTGCAGGTTGTAGGATTTTGAGCCCTGGAAGCCTAAAGCCCTGCATAAGTCCTTTATCCCAAAACCTGAACCCCGAAACGCTACGACCATGTAGAACCCTTGAAACAGCGTTGGTAGTAGCCCTATGTAGCCCGTAAAGTAGCCCTCCTCTGCTCCGTTGATTGCTTTTCTGAGAGACCTAGACTGTCCCCTACAGGGTTTAGGGCTCAGGGTTCAGAATTTCGGCGTTGAGGGTTCAACGCTCATAGGGTCAAAAGGGCTTACCACAAAGGCACTCTCCGAGAAACCCGCAGGGCTCGAAGCGCCACGTGCTGCTGGCCGAGCTGGCAGACGATGAGGCTGCGGCTTTTTCATGCAGTAGCGAGGATTCTGAAAGGGTTCAAAACGGGCCCTTTAAGGATTTGAGGTTTAAGGGTTGTATCAATTTCCACGTTTTTTGTTGCTTAGGGTTGAAGGTTTTGGGGCGTTAGATGTAGTGTTTAGTGGTTGGTGTTCTCGTGACCTGTCTTGCCTGCAGTTGGTTTGTGCGCATGGTTGCTGTGGCAGTGGCAGGCTCAAGGTGAGGAGAGGTGGCTGTACGAAGACACTCGTCACGGAGCTCTGCCCAGGAACGATTGTCCTATTGTGAGCGGTCGAGCCCCGCGGAACACCATCCTTCAAAGGGAAGCTTTCTGCGAAGTGAAATGGATGGCCGTGACAGAGTCACGCGGACTGCGGGGCTGGACTTCGAGCGATGCAAGTTTGCGAAGCCGTTCAAGGATGATGACCTTGCAGTTTCAGACCGAGACCTGGTTCTTAGGAGCTCAAGTGAAGCAGACTTGATCATCTCGGATTCTACAAATCAATTCTACAGGTACATCAACCCTCCTGCGTGTCGTAAATAGTTCCTTGCTCTTTTGTAGGATTGATGATGGCGACAGCGACCAAGGCGAGGCCACCGCAGCTGTGGCGACCATTGCCTTGGAAAGCCTTGGTAATTAGGAATTAGGCCTGTCTTGGGCCGCAGCAGTTGGTCTGGAGTACTGTAAGGGAGCCTGGAGTTTTGATCCTTACGTTTCTACACTCATACATGCGAGTGGCTCCGTTTGAGCAGAAATGAACCCTACTTAAAGGATCATTGGACCTAGTAAGTAGGGTTATAAGTACCTTAATTGGGGTTATAATTATATAGTTATCCTAATTATAACCCTAGTTACCAAGTCCCATGATCCTCCAAGTAAACTCCAATTCCAAGACCAAACGTCGGCCTGAAGCCGAGACTCGACAAGCCTCAACCCTATCCCCTAAAATCTTAACTAGGTAGGCCTTTGGGACATTTTATATTTTCCTTATTGGGCTTATAATAGGACCCTATTTACGAATATTTTTTAGAGGCTTCAAAGGGCCAACCTAGTTAACCTAAGAACCCAGCCCTAAATCTTAAATGCCCGGAAACCCTAAAACCCTACAGCCCTGGAACCCTCAAGCTTTAAAGCCCTGAAACCCTACAGCCTTAAACCCTAACAAATAGGACTGTCGCCTAATTAACTCTGACTTTCAATGCTCTGAAGCTCTACAACACCAAAACCCCTAATCTTAAGAAAGCCTCATAAACCCTATCTCTGAGTTCTGACGCCCAAAGCCCTCAAAGCCCGAAATGGGAGTTTCCCGAAATTAGGGTACCTTATTTTTGGGGTGCTTATATTAAGGATCCTATTCTTTAAAATCGTATATTCGGCCTATGTTCGGAAAGGATTTGCGCCACTTCCTGGCCCTGGGTGTCCTCTTCAACAAGGGGAGGCCGGACGCTGGGTCGGATCGGGTGGGTTTTGGGGTTTTAGGGGTTTTAGGGGCTTTAGGGTTTTAGGGTAAAGTTTAGGGTCTATAGGGGTTCAGGGTTTTAGGGTTTAGGGGTTTAGGCTTTCAGGGTTTAGGGTTCAGGGTTTAATGTAGGAGCCTAAACAATTACCTATGCTATTTTGGGGGTTCCTTTATTTAAAGTATGATGGGCCCCAGAACCCAATTCTAATTATTGAGGCCCCTTTACTAGGGTTAGCTGTTTACTATATTAGGGTTTGCCGTTTGAGGTTTAGGAAGGTACAGGTATGTGAAACACAGGGAAGATACAGACGTCTCAGCCAAGTCTTAAAGCAAGACTCCCGTGCAATCACCTGCTTCCAAGGGGTAGTTCAGGGTCTGGAGCTTGTGACAAGGTTTTTAACTTCGGGATCAGGGTCTAGGATTTAGGCTTTAGAGTTAGGGTTTTAAGGTCCTAAAACGAAGGTGACTCTCGGTGTTCGAGGGATGTCGCTTTCCAATGAGACTGGCTTTTTACAGAGACCGCAATTCAGAGCGATGCCCTCTTTGGGTGCTGGGATGACTTCTCGCCTGCCCTCGTCATCATAATTTAATACGGCGTCCTGTATTGAGTACCGGTTCTATATGGGAGTTTCCGAAAATAGGGGACCTTAATATATAGTACCCTAAATAGTAGGATCCATATTCTAGGCCCCCCAAAAAATAAGGTACCCCCAATTGTCGGAAACCCTAAACCCTTTATAGAACCCTTATAGATCCCTTTAAGGAACCCTTATAGATCCCTTTAAAGGTACCCTTATAGATCCCTTTAAAGGTACCCATATGTGGGCTCCAGGATCCGATGCCCATCCTTCAACGATTCAACTAGAGGCTTCCGGCTTCAAAGACCCGTGGATACTTGGAGGATCGTGGGACTTAGTAAGTAAGGTTATAAGTTATAAGTACCTTAATTGGGGTTATAAGTATAGTTACCCTAATTATAACCCTAGTTACTAAGTCCCATGATCTTTAAAGTACAGTAGGCAGGATTCTGGGTGACGTCGTAACCCTACTGGTAGGCGCGTTTACGAGGCTTCCTGATTCTGCAAGTACGTACGCCCGAGTTGCGCATGTTGCGAGCACCTGGTCCGCGAGATAGCATAGCAGCGTCCCTGAGTCAGGACATCGCTCTCTGTTGGCCACCCAGTGATCCTGGTTTTTGGGTCTTGGGCTCTCATGTTTGCCAGAAACTGGTCATTGCATGGTTCACACTTTGTGAAATTGCCGTTCTGTGTCAATGTCCCAATGTCCCAAGTGCTCCCTGAAGCTGGGCTTGCCTATCCGTGCCCTAGGCCTGCAGCAATGCAGATGTAGAGTCGAAGGTCTGCAGGAGGGCCCAAATCCCAAACCCGAAAGCCGGTAGAACCATCCTGCAATTGTGTCTCGGGCTGTCGTCAGTGAAGCCCATTCTCGGCTTTTTCATGTGGAGACTTTTCGGGTTTGGGGTTGGTTATCCTACTATCATTTACAACTGTGATTTTAGGCCTTTTTTTCCTTGTCTGGTGTCGTGTCTAACTGTACCGCCCGCCGCTCTGCACGGCTTGCAGCGAGCTTACACTCAACGCTCCGAACTCCGGGTAGAAAAGCCACTATGCCTGAAGGTGCGGGCCTGTCGGGTTAAGGATCTGGCTACGCTGCTTAAGCTCATGCTCCCCATGTCCCGGTCACTAAACAATTAGGGCACAGGGTTTCACCCCCATGAGCCCATGTCGATGAGCATCGGGGTGTCGCTCTTGAGCGGCCGGCAGGCAAGGTGAATCTGTTGGGGTCGGAGGAGATAGGGTGATTCGTAACCTACTTAAGATCTGGGAAGTATGCACAAGCTTCCAGAAGCTCTAGGTTAAAGATTTAATCCGAACAAGCTGTAGAGAAACCCTAAACCCTAAACCCCAAAAAGCCCTAAACCCTAAACCCCCAAAAAGCCCTAAACCCTAAACCTCCAAAAAGCCCTAAACCCTAAGCCCCAAAAATCCCCAAAGCCTAAACCCCCAAAAAAACCTTAAACCCCCTCGGCTAGGGTGCTCTTGCTCGGTGTAGACATGTTGGAGGGTTCAGGGTGGGGGTTCCAGGGTAGGGCTTTGGGTTTAGGGTTTAGGGTTTAGGGTTTGGGGTTTACGGTGCCCAAACCCCAAGCCTTAAAGCTCTAATTGTAACAGAAAGGACGGTCTCTGAGCCCTGAACCTCAGAGCTTTGTGCTGACTCTGCATGGTTTTGTGGCTTCGGGTTGTGGGCTCGGGCACAAGAGCGAAGTCCAGGAGATGTACTCTATATATATATATATATATATATATATATATATATATATACTACTACTACTACTACTACTACTACTACTACTACTACTACTACTACTACTACTACTACTACTACTACTGCTACTACTACCACCACCACCACCACCACCAACACCACCACCACCACTACTACTGCTACTACCACTACGACGACGACTACTACTTCTGTAAGGCCACTACAAGCCTACTACAGTTCTAAACCCATCCCCGAAACCGACACTTCCCAAGGCCCTTCTTTCCGTGGATCCCTCAGCGACCATGCAAAGCCTCCGGCACCGTGCGCAGCGGGAGCTCGGTGTGGGCCGGAGACCCGGACAACACAAAATGTCATCATGTTCCTGTAGGTCCTAACCCTCTTTAGATTATACTGCAATATTATACCCTTTAGATTCAGATTATGCTGCAATATACCCCGCTGTCCAAGAGGCTTTTAGAATAGGGTCTCGCTTTGGAGGGTTCGGATTTGGCGGCGTAGGGTCTTGGGTCTTGGGGTCAAAATTATGGTCCCTTTTTGGGTCCTTATTAAAATACGGCACCTAATATTAAGGGTACCCCAAAAGGGGCCATAATTTTGACAACCACCTACATATGTATGTCAGCTACCAACTCTGCCGCGCTGAACTAACACAGGCCTTTAGAACCTGAGCCCAGGCACCGGAGGCAGCCTTGACCCAGATCTCCTACACCGAAGCCGCCGAACCCCTAAAGACCTAGCACCCGAACCCCTGATCCCCCCTACATCGATAAACCCAGATATCCCCCTAAACCCCCAAACCCCCTAAACCCCTAAAGCTCCCAAACCCCCTATATAAGCGGGAAACCCCGGATGGCAAAACAGCTCTTTGAAGGAGCCCTTTAAGAACCCTTACTAGGTCCCCTGATCTTCTAAGTAGACCCTAAACCCTAAACTAAGAGGCCTGGGCCAGATCATCTCCGCGCCGGGCAGAATCCTCCCGGAGCTGTCGACCATTGGCGAGGCCCCGGGAACTTCACAAAGGGGCCCTTTGGGTTTTTTCGAAGCTGAGAGTCAGCTTATTTTGGGGTCCTTGTAATAAGGCTCCTACTATCTAAGGTACTATATGAGGCTTTTCAGCGTTGTTTTTCAGTGTTTCAGAGGGTAGGTACAGGCAAGGTGATTTTGGGCATCTTCAATCCACTGGGTTGGTGAACCCGAATACTGTTTTAAGGTTAAAGTTGAAGCAGGCCCTGATGCAAGTCCTCACGATGCGAAATCTGAAGGTTTCGGGGGATGTCTGAAGCATGCGCCGCAAAAGCAATCACCAGAGGCCCTACATATCCTGAACCGCGAATATGATTTGTTACTAGCATAGGGATTGCGACAAGTTTTACCATAAACGCTACTATGAGGGTAGCTTTATTGGTTACCATAAGGCCATAAGGGATCGCAGATGTGTCCCAAGTTGAGGTGGGCTTGAAGCATGGCGATGTGCTGACCGCTGCAGTGCGGCAGCCGCAGAGCTTCGGTGGCAATCCGGGCTTTGCGTCCGGCTTGTCTTCCCCCAAAACTTAGGGGTACTTAGGAATAATTTTTAACTTTTGGTTGTTATAGTCCCAAGAAACAGCTAAAATTCTAATTTTTGCTAGGGTTCTAAGTTCAGTATAGAAAACGGCTCATCCCGAAACCTAAACCCTGAAGCCCTAGGTCCTAAAACTCTAGAACCCGAGACTTTTTGAACCCTAAACCCTGAACCGCAAGAATTGACTCAAGGTTTTATGCAGTTAACACTCAGGCCGCTCCGGATGCCGAGTACTGTCGTAAATCCCCGATCGGCACCCCTCCTGGACATTGGGGCTTGGGTTTCGCCACTGCAGATTTTGGCGTATGTGGCTTAAGGCTTATAGGGTTTGGAAATGTAGTACTACGAGTAACATCAAGAGTAAGGCTAACAGCAACAACAAATAACTCTTAGTCGTTGTGCTAGCCAATGAGTTGTGTAGCCAGAAAGCATTAGTGATGTTGGTATTGTTGTTATTGATGTTTTGGTCGTGTCGTTGCTCTGGTTGGAGTTTAAGTTGTAGGAGTTGTTAATGCTGCTCATAGTATCGCTTTTTTGCTGGCTACATTTCAGATCAAGGATGCAAACTTTTGCATCTAGCAGCATGCAATACATTCTCTCTCGCACACACACACACCCATACTCAGACATCAACGCTCTCAACATCAAGCCGGTCAAGTGTAAACTCGTCATCGTCTAACTTTTGAACAACCGTTTCAGTTCAGCAACAATGTTTTACAACGCCAGTTTTTCGAAATCAAGCTATCCGGCCCCGAAGGCCTTTCGAACTGTTCAACCCAGGGCTTTCAACCCGGAACTCTTCAACAACAAGACTTCCAAGAACAAATGTCTTGAACGTGCTGTCTTCGCATCCCACCAACCTCAACATGCAAAGTTTCAGCAGCCAGTATATAGATTGGACTTTCAACGCCAAGCTGGCAAGCATCAGCTTCTTCAACATCCCTGGGATTAGCCGTTAGGCTGACTGTTTAGAGTGCTTCAGGTTTAGGACACCGGCCCGCATGATTGAATTCCTGTAATATAGGAGGTCTTAATGATTGGAATAAGTTTTTTGGCGGTATATTCTACTATACATATAGCAAGGAACCTACAAAAAATAGGATGCATAATTGTTTAAGCCCCGATAATACGCTTCAGCTCATATCAACCTGAACCGACAAGGATCGCAGCCACGCTCTCTGCCTTCGCTCTGCTGCGTGCAGACGGGACTGTGGTGACCTGGGGCGAGATGACCCAAGGCCCAACATGCTAAGCCAAATCAGGTTCTGCCTCCCAGCAGTGGTAATTGGCGGTTCCGTTCAAAAAGCCACATCGCCTTGGACACGACTTGAGAGGAGCCCGGCAAGTAAGTGGTCAATTCAGGAAGCATTCGTTGAAGAAGTGAACTTCTGGGGCCTGGTGTCGCTTCGCCTTCGCTACACTCTGAAGCGTCAGGTGGCGACAGCAGCGGCGTTCAGACTCAGCTTGAAGATGTGCTGGAAATACAGGCCGGCTCGGGTTTAGGCGGGTTTATTGGGGTCTTCGAAGGCAGACTTGCTGACTCGTCAGGGTGAGCTCGGCAATTACTCGGTATTGTAAAACCAGCGCATTCGATTACCGAACAGTCTAATTTTTGTCGTGAAGATCCTACCGACACACAAGCTAGGCACAACAGACTCCAAGACTCCATTGAAATTGGACCGTAATCCGCAACCCTAAACCCTAAGCCTTAAACTAACATCAGGAACTCAAACGGTCCACCGAGGCTGCGGACTACGCGTTTGCAGCGAGGCGAGCAGATGGCCGTGTGGTAACTTGGGGCGACTTGGATGCGCGAGAGGACGAGGGCAAAGACCCGAAGTTTCGTAGCAAGGTCAGATCTACTAGGTATCACAACCTATACATGGCATGCACTTTCGGAAACGGCTAGTCATGAGGAGCCCATTTTCTGAGAGGCTTGCATCAAAAGGCCTGGAGTGAGAAGTATCATGGGTATTCATGAGTGGCTCTTATCGAGGCAGCCAGCACGACGGTGGTGACAGCAGCGACGTGCAGGAGCATCTTGTTTTCGTTGAACAGATTCAGGCCAGACGCTGCAATGTCTGATGGCTTGTCTTTATTTCCTGCGAGTTGAGGGCAGGGGAAGACGGTTTTTCTGCTGCAACCAGAGTGCTCCATGTTTTGTTTCAACCATAGGAGCAGCACTGCATCCCCACGCCCTCAATAGCATTCTTCCACTGCGTCTTTATTTTTATTGCAATCTTCCCTATCCCAAAGAAGCCTGCAGCCAGCCTCGAAGCACAACAGTCAGCCGCGAACTCTA